CCCGGACTTGATTTTCTTCACTTGAAGCTCCAGTGCTAAAATTTTATGCTTCAATGTCGGGTTTTGGAGGTAACAGGAGAGAGTTTATAAGGGATTACTGGTGGAAGAAGAGCTAAAACTTGAAAGATCTGTCCACGCACTACCAGTCCATTGATCGTTTCCTGGAGTTCCCAAGAATTGCCTCGACAAATTGGACTCTTGATTATCTTCCATTTTCACAGAAGCAAACTGAGTAAGCATGGAGGCAGATAATTTCGGCCGGACCTGACTAGTTTCACCAACATAACCTGATGTCTCAACACCACCTTGGAATGGGAATAGGCACTGTGACGATAAAGGGTCCATGCCACCCAGGAAAGAAAATTGTTGGGGCGGCTGCAACCGCCACTGCTCAATTCCTCCAGCGGATAAAAAGGAAGCAACACCACCACCACCACCAAGGAAATTTGTACCCATCTGAAAATTCATCTCGTTTGTCGCCGCCACCGGAGCTGAAATACCCTCATAGTTTAACCCTATGTCACCTGCACCATAATCGGCCGAAAGCTGACTAAAAGGAGCCATGAACCGTAGCGATGGAATTTGGGGTGTGAGGCCTAATATATTGGCCGGTCCACTGGTAGAGGAAACTATGGTGGTGGAACCAGAATTTGATTGGTGATCGCTACTGCCGGCGGGGGATTTTGAACTACTTGCTTTGCTCCTTTTGTTTCTCCGGCAACCGCCTCCCACCGGAACGCTTCTCAGGGCACCACCTCTTGTCCAGTATCTTCGACAGGTCTTGCAAAAGTGTCGAGGCTGTGTGAGACTGTAGTTGTTGAAATAGCAAAACTTTGTGTTAGTTGATTCGCATCTGGGGCACTTAAGGGCCGCCTCTGGCATCGGTATGTTGGCCATCCTGGCACGATCGGCCATGGAGCCTGGCCTAATTGAGCCTGCGCCGCCTCCCACATGAGGCTGAGGAGGTGGTGGTGGTGGTGGAAGTTGAGGATTTCCGCTGCTATTTCCGGTTTGATGAGTTGGTAGCTGCAAAAGCAAAGGTAAAAAATGAAATATCTGGTATATTCAACTGGAGAAAACAATAATGTTCAAAGTAAAGAGCAAGAGATAGAAACAAAAAAAAGGTGACAAGAATATTTATCTTTTAGATTGAGTTTTTTTGGCAAAGAAGCCATGGAAACACATTGAAGATAATCCTTACCTGTTGCCAGTTGGCTGGATCAAGATAAGCTGGAATGGAGGAAAAAACCATGGTTCTTGGTCTTTCTCTTTTGTAAAGTTTGATGGGGGTTTTTGGAGCTATAGTGGAGAATCACATCAACAGGAAGTGTTCAGAGAGAGAGAGAGAGAGAATGAGAATGAGCTAAAATAAGAGATGGGGCTTTATGTTATATATATAACTAAGCCAAGTTGTACTTTTTTGTTTTCACTATGTCTATATTTGTTTCGTTGCTTTTTAAGGGTTTCGATTGAGAAGGGGAGCATGTTGTTTATTTAGACTCAATAGTGAGTGATTAAATTAACAAATAAGGTTAAAAAATTAGATACAAATAACATTTTTCATTAATTGAAAAAGAATTTTGTGACTCCACTTGCATGAAAAAAAATAGTGATTGTATGTTTGATCAAGAGAAAGATCAGAAGAAGCAGGAGTTGGCTCTATATCGTTGAGATTTAATTTTGTAATCAAGTCGATATATATAATTCATTATGTTTTTTTGAATTGATAGTGAATCTTACGTAAGAGTGATGTTCAATGTTATGTTAACCATTAATTGAGTTAATGGAGAAGTTCAAAAGAATATATTCAAGTAGAGTAATGTTATATCAATTTAAAAAATAGATTTAAAAATTAGATTTGATAATCTCAACTATTGAATAGATAATGGGTCCAATAAATGCTAGAACCCATAATGAAATCAATGGTTGAGATTATCAAGTCTAAGTTTTAAGATCATGTAAAATTGCTCATTAAAATATCATTACTGCTCTGTTAAAAAAAAAAAAAGAAAAAAAAACAAGTAGCATTACTACTTTACGACCATTAAGCTTTGGTTGTAAACTTATAATTAATGGTAGTTTATACAAGATGATTAAACGAATTGCAAGGAATTGTAGAAGAAAAAGGTCAGTCTTGGGTGCTTTGGCGATGACAGCAGTCTCAAGTGTCCCACCAAATGAACCTTTTTCTTCGCTCTTGTCCGTTACTTTCTCTCATTCTCTCTTCAGGGCTGTATTTGTATATATAATATATATGTGTATGCGTTGGTGGATGCCCTCTGTATGTATTTCCATGCAAAGTAGAGAGAGAGAAAGACAGTAGACCCACGCAGCCCTTGAAAGCGAGTGGCAACACAAATAAAGGCTTTTTCTCCTGTCCGGAACCGAGTATTTTTTAGGTAGTGCTCATGCATGAACAAGCTGAACTTCTCACTAGCTCCTGTGTGTGTGTGTGTGTGTGACATTAATATGCATACAAATTGTAGACATATTTAGGTTTGGCGTTTCGAGATAGAGGAATGCTATCCGTACTTAAAATTTTAATTTAATTTATTAATTTAATGATGAGGTTTTGACACGGTCTAATAGTATTATTGTCACTATAATAATTAAATTTCTTCAAATTACTTGTTTTTATCTTTAGGTAATGATATATGACTCTTACTTTCATAATGATGTTAATTGCACTTGCGGGCTGTTTGGTAAGGCGATTTGGGGGACTTGACGAGATGAGTTTAAAAAAAATAGTTCAGAGAATCTCCAAATCTTTTGTTTGAATTAGGGGAAAAGCTGTTTTGGGGCCTAAAGTAGGATTCTATGCGGGGATTTTTTTTATTTTTTATTATTAATATAATTTATTTTTTATTTTATTTTTTAAAATTTAAATTACTAATAATTTTTTTGTATATTCTTCATGATCAAGAATTATTATATTACATTTTCGACCATCATTATAAAAGATTTTATTTGTTATTTTATCATCATATAATTTGAATATCTTCTAATTATTTAAAATCTATCACTTGCTTATTTCAAAACTTTCACATAAATCTTTTGTTATTTTTTTATTACTAATAATAAATTTATTAATAGATCTTTTTGTTTTTTTGTGATTCAATAAGTTTTTCTATTTTTCTCTTTTTTTTTCAAGTTCCTTATTTCTGAATTGTTCTTTTTTTGTAGCCACTGTTTTTTGACAATCCAACTTTTTTATATAAATCAATCAAATACTCTGTAAAAAACTTAATAAAAAAACAAAATTATAAAATAATAAACCTTAATTTTATCATTAGTGCTCCTAGAATTTAGAATATTATAATGTGAATAAGTTGATTAAAACTATATTTTATACAAAATAACATTGAAAAATAGAAAGTGTGAATATAAAATAATATATCGGGGCTGATTTGATGACCTTTGTTGTGTGAATTAGAAAAGCGGTCACAAGCTAAAGGGGAAAGATAATCTTTTATTTTGTTTTTAGATGGAAACAAAAATTAATTTTATGTGTGTGTGTGTGTGAGAGAGAAAGAGAGAGAGGGGTTGATGTTTTAATAGGAGAGACTTAGGAGAAAGTGTGTGTTTGATTAATGTAATTGACTGGTTAGAAAGAGTAATTAATGGTATTGATTATTGACTTCTTCATTTTTACATGTAACAATCTAATTAAAATTTCATATTTTTAACTAAATGAGTTGTGAGCTTTTTATTTTTGTTATGCCACAAACATTTTTGGACCCATTTTTGTTCGAAATCTTTTGTTAGTTTAAAGTATATAGGACTTTTTTTTCCGTGAACTCAATTTTATTTGAGTTTAATTTTTTGGTTTGGATAATACTAAAGACTTATAAAAAATGGGGCCTAAAGCAATCACTTCTTCGGCCTCGTTATTGGGCTGATCCTGGTTTGAATTAAAAATTCAATTTTATGTTTTCAAATCTAGCTTGCAGGTTGCAGCTAGCCTAAATATTAAACTCATGATCTTGAGTTTTGTCAAACCTAAAATGGTGGTTTTGAAAAAATGGGTTAAGAGGTTAAGGATACAAAAACAATTGCACCCCTTAACATGTGTATGAATTGAATTGATCAAGGGGCAAAATAGTCATTTATAGGACAGATGGTTGTTCATAATTATGATATATCCATGAGTCTTATATTTGCATGTGTTACATATCAAACATGAGTATGGATTAAATTCAATATTGAATTCCATTTTTGTAAAGTGAGATTTGAATTTGAAAGAATTTAGAAAAGTTAATCCAAATCGTCCCCAAAATTCATCCAAACAAGCGCTAATGTTTTGATCTAATGTACTGGTTTAACCCATTATTGTCACCGGACTGGAATTTGTCCCCCTTCTAATTGATAAAGTACTCAAGCTCGTTTTGATTGCAAATTGGATTTGATTTTATTCAGAGATTTCAAAATTCATATTATAAATGATATCTAAATGGCTCAACTCGAATAGGCTTGGCTTGATTTGGAGTTGGTTCCTATTCCTGAATAATTTAATTTGAGTAATGCTCTATGAACTTAAAATACTGATTTAATTTTTTGACTTAATTCATCATTATCATTGATTTAACTGTAGATCCAAATATTTATTAAGACCAATTACATATTCGATATTTGTGATTGATCAAGTCAGTATTTAAATCCAAATAGCATTTTCTATTTATTTTTTTTTACCAGACAATCGCATTTAAAAAATAAATAACCTCAAAATTTTCTCTCATCTCTACTACCTTTAATGTGTGATTCAATAGCTGATTCTGCAAATTTGAAAGATTTTAGCTAAGAAATTGAACTTAATTCGACAAGTTCACTTTTCTATATATTAAACTTTTCATGAGCCAAACTTAAACAAAATTATAAACTCGACAATTGAGCTTAGCTGGAGTTCAATCAAGTCACTACCAAACCTAACCAAACCAAACTTAAACATACCAAACTCAACAAGTTCAACTTGATTCACATTGCTCGAGAGTTTTCAATTTACTGCACATTGGCCTTCTGCAAGAGCACAAAAATATACCATGTTACCAACGCGAATGAATATTAAAACTCTCCACCGTCTATGGGATACATTCGGTACTCAGATGCCCAGGGGATTCCCCTCAACCATCTGGTCTATGATCAACACTCCCCTGTTACTCTTCAACTATACCTATGTTTTTGTGAAGCAGCAAATATGTAGAAGCTAACCCAGAGCCCTGAAAGGCTGATAGAAAAAATTCAATAGGGCAGGTCTAATCCCATCTTGTTATTGTCCACAACTGGAAATGCATACACCTATTAATACAGCAAAAAAAGTCCGAAAGATAAAAATCATAAATGCGTGTATGAGTGTAATATCTTCCCTATACCGTGTATCAACCAGAATTCTCCAATATGCTCATTTCTGTGAATCTTTCTCAGAAAACTAGTAGACAGATCTGGTGCCTCCAGCATTAGTGCTGGGGATTCAAGATGTCGAGTTGAAGAACGTCAAGAAACATGTCTACTCTCCAGCAATTGGTAGTGGCGCATTAACTTGAGAATGTAAGCATCATCATGCAAGCGAAAGGGTGTGCTGCCAAGAAGACAATGTCGAAATAAGAGAATGGCCACTGCCACCTTTAATTTCAGGGAAGCCAAGGATAACATAACCAGTATCACTGAAATAGTTGGCAGAAACCTCTACCCCATGTTCAAATGACATTGATTCGAGTCTTTTTCACTTTGATAATTCCTTATTCCCCCCTTACATTTTATTTCTAAGGAAATGTAGGGGGTGCACTGAATGACTATATTTACACACCACAAAAATGTCACTTTTAATCAACATGGTTTTATTAATTAATAATTTTCAGGAACCAACTTTGTTCCCAGGTATAAATATTTCTACTTACCAAATAATTAATTTTGAGGAAAAAGTTCTGTCAGAAATGTTTAAGACTGGAAAAATGTGTTTCTTATAACATATCATATGACATTTGTTACCAACATTAATCTCATCGTAATAAAATATAGTATGAGTAACTTGTGGACTTAAAATACATATAATACATTATTTTTGTAAAAAAAAATAAATTCCACCACTCTCGAAATATGGGTGTATTGGTGAAAATCATATTAACTTTCAGGTATTTTCACTAACGAATGTCGTATGAAACTCGGTATTCATTAGTCCTACTAATAGATATTTTGTAAATCTCCCATCATTAATAGTCGTTAGAGAGTCATACTTGTGCGATTTGTTTCTTCGGCAGGGATAATTACACTGGTGAAAATGAAATCTGCCCATAAAATAACAGAGCCTCTAACATGATGGTAAAGTCCCATACCTGCTGAAGTCAAAGTGCACCAATCGCATGTCCTCAGAAATCTCAATCTCAACTGTAGCATGAGGGCTTGCCTACAGAAATATTAGAGAGAGAGAGAGCGCAAAGGGTTACACAATGGAAATGTAATGCCATAATGCAGCATATGGAGATAAAAATGGGAGTTGCAGCGCTAAAAATTTATGAAACCAAGGGTACGGTGTTTACATGTTCCGAGGAAATATGTTTCACTTTACATTTATCATCTATTTTACTTTGGTAGACATCTACAATAGACATCCTTTCCCCTATACTTTTAGGGCTTCCCCTGCATGGTCATACTATAAATCCTGCTCTAACTTTGATATCATTCTTTTGATCCATAAGAGCTAACATTCATATGATACTAACTCAGCAGATTTCATCAAATTAACTTAAGGATAATTGTTCTTAAAAGGATTGGGAGAAGGACGCATCCCACCACCATTTCTAGAAGTCACAGAAGGGCAAAAAGGTGAATGTGTGACTCACGTCTATTGATCCAATGAGAAGCACAATCAGAAACTCAAAGCAGGAGTGATGTAGATCGTATTAGCTCTAATACCAAATTGATGTAGATCGTATTAGGGAAGAATTAGGGATAAGAAGGGAAGAAAAAAGGAATGAGAAAAGAAGAAGGGGATAAGAGTAGAGAGATAATTTTAGGAAGAAGATTCAATATCAATAATCAATAATCAAAGTCTCATTCTCAACAAATATGTATCCCCTATATATATAAGGAGATCACAAACCCTAAAATAAATAAATAATCAAAATGACAACTAAACCCTTAAAAGTTAAAAAAAAATAATTAAAAGATAAATATTAAAAGTATCTAAATAACTATCATAATTAATCTATAATATATATCCAATTCCTATACGATCTCCATTATTCTCCTCCGGAGAGTCTTCAAAGTAGAAGTACCCTAACAGAGCAGGATGAAGATGACATAATGCCTTATCTAGTATGAAAGAACCGTCGACTTTTTTCCATCGACCAGAATAAATGCAAGAATCTCCATCTGTATGAACACCTGCGAATAAAATAGGAGGCTCTGGAGTACCTCGATTAAGCAACATGTCCTCCAAATAAAAATCTGGACTAACACTAACATTCAATGAAAAATTAAGCAAATAAACATTAGATCCAAACTCAAGAATAACAAAACAATTCTCATTAGATTTGAACAACAGACATTCAATGGGACAAGATATCAATGACAAAAGAGTAACTATAACACCCTGGTGCTAAAAATAAGAAAGTACAGCCTCAATTGAACACTTGACAGTAGGCAAAGAATCAAAGTTAACACTCTCAAGTGGGACAGAATTCAGAACAATGTCAACAATCTCAGATTGAGAAGAATCCGTAACAAAGTCATAATGACTTGGACAAGTAGATATAGAATAGTCACTATTAGATTCTGCAATAAATGACTCGATTGGCTTAATATCTTGCATAGGTGTAGACTCAACAGATTTTTCCACAATTTTCAAGACTAATGATGGTCCAAGAATTGACACAAACAAAGACTCACACACACTTTCTTTCGATATGAACTCTTGTGGGTGCAAAGGAGCACTCTGATCTGATGAAATTGAAGGAGGGAGTTGAAAGTCAATATGAGCAACATTTTCTCTTTATCCGATACTAGGATATCTAAATCCTTTGCCACATTCAGATTAGGAAAACATGCAAAAACATGGACATCATTCAAGTAATCATGATACTCATATGTTATGGAATTAAAATTGGAAGGTATCTTTTCACGTTGTTTTGCAGACTATGATTGAGAACCCATCAAGCTATAGTTGGATTTCTTATGAAATCTCTCAACTTTTAAAGCATATTGATAGGTTGCAACTATCGTATTAAAAGTGTATTGTTTGACCTCCCTATTAATTTTTGGTCTCAACCCAAGAATAAACTGATCAATTGTCCAAGATTCTTCAATTATCTAATTTACACGATCCCCATCAAGGAGCATACTGCATGCTACACAATCTTGTACTCATAAGCGACATTGAAATATTACATAATGGAAGGATCCAATAAAATACGTATTATAGTTTCCATTTCCAAGAGTCAACCAAAATAACTCTAAATTTAAGGTTGTGGTGTGTTTCTACAAAGGAAGAGCAAGACACTCGAATAAATTTCAATGCTGGCAGAAAATCATAGATTGTAAGCAAGTATGAAGTGGATCCAAGTCAAAAGAAACAGTCAGAATCATCTAACATGGAAGTGGAAATAGCGTCCAAGCTGGTTTCTCCATATTTCTTTAACTGTTGCGTAGCATGATCATATTCTCCAAGAAATAGAATAAATAAGAGATAATACACAACTCCAAATAGGTTCAGTTTATGCAAATCATGCCAAAAAAAAAAAAAGACAAAAGAAGGGGTATATACTTCAACCAGTATAAATGGCAAAGAGAATCCTTGGGAAGGGGCCTTGCCAGACGCAAGCAACTGCTGATTACGCAGCATAAGATTCTGCAGACCTGCAATCTGTAGAAACAAAGAAATTAGAACATACAAAGTCAAACAATAATTCCCCTCAAGTTAACTAAATCTAACCAATTCAGAACTTATTGACATATCAAACACTTGTAACAACCAAACGTCTGATTCTTTCTCAAATTCGACAGTCTCAAAAGTTCACTTATCCCTAACTTGACTGGTATTCAATTTTTCTATTTTAAATAAAATCTCTTTACAGTATTCAGCTTCTCTATAGTAAAACAAAATAAATATCCTAAAACTCTGACTAGAACACCGCACGTAATTGTCAACAATACTGTGGGAAATAAATAAACTTCGTTACTTGTTCTTCTAAGTCGTTCAAGTAAGCAGCTTTTTTTCCAATTTTTCTTATCAGCTCAGCACGCAGTGCCTGCAAGCATAAAGAAAATAATTGCGATTAAACCTCAGGTCTCAAAAGAGTCCTTAGACATTGCGGAAAGGGTCAAAATGAGGGTCAACAAGAGTCCTTAAACATTGAACCTCAGGGTTCTCAAAAAGAAGTAAGCTATTCAGTAAGTTCGTTTCATTATCATCGATCATGATGAGCTTGGTGTCCAACCTTTATCTCTTCCATATCCTTCACACTGGTATTAGGGAGACCCCTCCACCTAATTTCCTTTCTGTCTCTAGTGATAATATCCAGCGCCATAAGGACATTCAATGCATCATACACCCTCCTTCGTATATTCTTCTCATCAAACTGGAAAATATAATTTCACAAAAGAAAAGTCAAGGGTCATTTCAGACTATAATTTCGAAAAAGAAACAAAACATATGTGGATAAACAAAACCTCATCCAAGGAAACTGCTGAATTACTCTGTATCGTGGTATACTCAGCTATAATTTCGTCTGCAACCTGGATATCATCCAACATACAATTTAAAGGATACGACAAGATAAAAATTTCATGAAAACTGGAAGAAAAGGAGCTAAACCTGATGAGATTGAAAACATAGGAACTAACCTTACTTAGATGTTATTATCATCTAAACACATTCCCATAGAGAAGAGAACATTGTATGAGCAAGTCAAACAAATGAAGGGAGAATGAGAGAAGAAAAGGAAAGTACCTCGCTATATGTGGTTCTTCCCTTGTTTTCCACCTTCTTGCAAACTGGAGGCAAAGTGTACTAGAACATCAGAACTCTTACTAAAAGTACTACCAATAATTATGATCTATATAACGCAAAAATAGTCAGAAATTCAACAGCCCAATGCCTCATTGAACTGATAATTTAGGCTGGTAAAAAAGACAACTACCCTACTGGTTCCGTTAGCTAAAGATGCTAGGAGAGGTAGGGTGGGTACAAACCTTACTATATTATTTGTACAATGTGCCTTCGGTCTTTCAAACTTAGAATCTCATAATTGTCAGCCTCAGCATTTTACCAGTATTGTACACATGACTTCTATAATTGAACACATAATGCTGTCAAACCAACATGACATGAATCTAGCATATAGGAAAGATTTACTGACCAATAATACTGAACTGACGCAGGCCTCCACCAATAATTTTCGATACCCTCTTCTTCTTTGCTGCACTATTTTCTCAAAAAACAAATTATTAACATGAGAAAAGGCTGAAGGTATACTATTTTTGGCTTATAAATCATTTCAAAAGAGAAACATATTGACGGAGCATGTTATATACTCACCAATCATGACCAGACTGATTTTGTCCCTGAGTATTCATATTAGTTTCTCTGCCAGAACGTTTATGGCCAAAGCCACCAAGGCCTTCTCCCAAGTTATCGTCCATCATATCCGAAGACTATTCTACTTGGCTCACAAGGACACCTTTTTTTTGTTTTTTTTTTTCTGATTTTCACAATTAGTATGATGCACAAAATCCAGCTTAAAATACCTGCAATCATTAGCTGCATAAGCTAAGATGAAGGCATATATCATGAAGTAATGGAAAGACGCACATAATCTAATGCAGAAATAACAATATTTAAGAACCTGTAGTCCTCAGTTACATGCCACATAATTAAGTAATGATTAATTAAGTTTGTTCTTGTTAAACCAAATTACATGACATCTCCTTAATTTAATTTATGACCTAATGCTTCTTAGTTCATTGGCATAATCAACTTCAAAAACAGCCCTTGTATTAAAAGTAAAAATTATTACATCCAAAGGGCTAGACAAGATGTTAGGATTCACTTTAGAAGGTTGGAGATTCTGAATTTGAGTCTCCCCATAGGGCTACCTCCATAGAATTGGGTTCGACTTCAACCAAGCCGGTGCATGGCCCTTGAAAGGCGTAGCATATATCTGGGACTGGTCAGATGCTCTAAGATTTCTACACAACCTCATCATCGAAATTAGTAGTTTATTTCATTCCATTAACCCTAAAAACTAATACACTGTTTAATTGCTCTTCACCATCAAGCTCTCTCAGGCTTCGATTAACAAACATAAGATCAAATTAGGAACACAGTAACACCAATAAATTAGCACAGCAAACCAGTTTACAACGCTGACAAGAACAATTGCAATTGTGAGGCCGAATCAGAAAATTATAAATCTACTAGTTCAAGATCTACTCCTTCAATACGCAAAAACAAACAATCATAAATCAATTCCACAACAAATCAACTGTGTAAATTAACGAGTAATGAATCAAGGTAAAATTGGAAACAAATTGACGAACCTCACGATGAATCTGTTTGTTAATCGAACTCGATATCGTACTGTTGCAAGAACAGAGCGATCCAGAGAGGGACGGAACGGACTTCAACTCTATTTCGACTTCCGGAACAAACAAAATATGCGTTCCCGCTATGCTCATACGAAATTTATATTAGGGTAAAGTTTACAGATACCCCTTTTAATTTCTCATTATTCAAAGAGAACCCATTATATTTATAAAATCGTATTAACACCCCTATTGGATCTTGTCAACTAAGGCAATTAATTTGTTTGGTCATACCACAGATTTGATTCCAAAATTTCTTCTTATATAATTTCTTCCCTCCCCTCGCGAACACGTACAAACACACAACTCACCTAATCACCTAATGTAATGTGACTACTTCAATATGTTCGATAGTGTGGGTTTGAATTAGGTGATTTGCATGTGTGTGACCGATTGTGAGATTGGCGTGTAGGTGTGTCAGATTGTTGGTAATGATGGTGGTATTGACAGGGTCAATGAATTTATGCTAGAATTTAAAAAATAAATATTTTTACATAAATTTAGGAGATTATTAATTTTTTTAACTAACAATTGACTAATGAATGGGTATCTTGTGAAATTTATATCAAATCATGAGGATTTACCATACTTTTAAAAACTAGAGAGGTATATCTTCCAATTATCAAAAACTAGAGGACGTTAGTATAATTTGGCCAATTATTATCCATGACAGCTTGCGCCCTTTGGGAACTGAAAATTGCGTATAAGGTCCTTTTTCCCCCTTTTTATTTGATTAATGTTACTTTGGCCCGCTAGAAATTCTTTAAAACCCAATCTTTGCCCCTCGAATTCGTAATTGAAACACGATACTGTTAATAACTTAAATTCGTTTTACCTTACACTTTTCATTAGAAGTAGTGAGAAAGTTAATTTTATTCGGACTCAAAAAATTATTAGGCTCTATCGTTGTCACATTATTAGGTCAACATACAATTAATTTTTTAAATTTCAATAACATAACACAAAAATATATCAATCGAGCATGATATGTCTCCGCTCAAGGTCATGGATGGGGGTGTTTACCCTACTTACAGATAAAAATTATGATATTATATATTCCTACTTGATACTTTACGAAAGAATTTTTTATTGACTTATCTTACTCGATCAAGTGTATTATTTCTACTCAAATTCCGTCTAAAACGATCGGGTAGAAAGTCAGGTGAATATATATTTTTTAGTTATTAATTTTTGAATCATTTTAACAATTTAATTAAATAACTTGCACAAATTAATTAACACAATAAACCAGTAATAATAAAGAAAACACAATAAATTTGATAATACATAAAAATTACAATAAAACACAACAAGAATGTCATAAACATCAATACATCATATGAAAGCTATAAACATCAATAAAACTTTAGGGTTTCTAGATTTTTAAATTTTAATTTTTAGTGATTAGCATCTATAATATAATACAGGGCAGTTTCAACAAGTAAATCCTACGGTCTCAAATTCATTCATCCAACAATCAAGCAATTAACATTTTTTTGCTAAATATTTTTCCTCCCAACCAGTCAACGATTACTACTGATTTTGGAATACAGGATTTTCTCTGACATAATAATTAAATGGGTGAAATTTGCCATTAATATTATCTGTGTAGTGTAATATTTTGAATTTCTATAAGACACATTGATATCATTTTGATTAAAAAAAGCTCATCAATTTATTTGAGATAAAATAAAAACAAGGTTGCTGCTTAATACATTTATATTGAATATAATTAATTTTAATTTTATTTATTTAATTAATTATCTTAAACTAACATATCTTATATATATCTTGGGTCATAAATTCAAAACTAATTTTGTTTATATCTTAAGGAAATCTAACTCTAATATATTCTTTTAAATTAATAATTTTGTAATAGCTTGTACTAATTAAAAAATAATATTTTATAAATGATATTTATAGATCTTTTTTTGATAGAAAATATTTTTGCCATATGTTTTTTGATAAATTAAATTTTTAGTTTGTATTAAATTTAACTCGATTTTGGTTACATGTATATAAATTAACATTTTTTTAAGTTAATTTTATCGTATTTCATAAATTTATCTATATTATCTATAATATAAAATACGACGACTTCAACAGGCCTATTCTACAGTCTAAAATTCATTAATCTTAACAACCACCAATATCTCTCTCAAAATCATTCATATTGAATTTTACCCTCTTCTCACTCTTCACTCTCTCTCTCTAGTAGTGGCAGAGATAGAGGGATCTAGGGCCACCTGAAAAAATATATTTTGTTTAGTTATATAAGTTATAAATATATTTTTTGGATTAATTAGGCTCACTGCAATGATTTATGAAAAACAAAATTAATTAAGTCAAACAAGTTGGGTACTAGAACAAAAAAAACAAAAACAAAAAGTTCATACCAATTTCTTAAAATTAGCAAATTAAATTGATTATTTAGAGTATTGGTATGATATGTTGAAACCTCATTTTGTTCAAAAATTATGCAATACATAGCCAAATGAGTAAAATATGGAATTTGTAATTAAAAACAAATATAGAATATTGCTTTTATTTGTGTCAAATCTATATCTATAATCTATAATATAAAACAGGGCGGCTTCTACAAGTCCATCATACGGTCTCAAATTCATTCATTCAATAGTCAAGAAATTATCATTTTTTCCATAATATTTCTCCTCTCAACCGATCAACGATTACGGCTGATTTTGAAACACATTTTACGGTCTCAAATTCATTCATTCAACGGTCAAGAAATTAACATTTTTTTGTTAATATTTTCCCTTCCAACCAGTCAAAGATTACGACTGACTTGGATCACAAGATTTTTTCTAACAAATTAAATAGTTCAAATTTGATATTAATATCAACTGTATAGTATAATATTTTAAATTTATATAATAGACAATGATAATATTTTGATTAAAAAAAATTCATCAATTTAACAGAATAAAAAAAACAAGGGCATTGCTTAACACATTTATATTGAATATAATTAATTTTAATTTTATTTATTTAATTAACTATCTCAAACTAACATGCCTTATACATGTCTTGAATCAAAAGTTCAAGACTATTTTTTTTATTTCTTAAGAAAATCCAACATTAATATATTCTTATAAATTAATAATTTTCTAATAACTTGTACTAATTAAAAAAATAATATTTTATAAATAATATTTGTAGATCTTTTTTTGATAAAAAATATTTTGGCAATATACTTTTTGATAAATTAGATTTTTATTTTATTTTAAATTTGACTCAATTTTGATTATATGTATATAAATTAATATTCGATTTTGATGACATGTATATAATTAATATTTTTTTAAGTTAATTCTATTATATTTTGTGAATTTTATAATATAAAACAGAGCGGATTCAACAAACTCATCTGATAATTTCAAATAAACTCATTAAACGACCACCAACATCTTTCTCAATACCATTTATATTAAATTTTACCTTCCTCTTTTCACTTTTCACTTTTCACTTTTCACTCTCTTTCTCTGGCAGTGGCGGAGGGAGGAGGGGTCTGGGCCACCTTGAAAAAAAAATATTTTTTTAATTATATATGTTTTATATATATTTTTAGATAAGTTGGGTCTACTGTAATGATTTATAAAAAATAAAATTAATTGGATCAAACAAGTTGGGTACTAGAACAAAAAAAAGAAAAAAAAAAGTCCACACAAAATCTTTTAAAATTAACAAACTAAAATTGATTCCTTAGAGTATTGGTATGATTTGTTGAAGTTTCCTTTGGTTAAAAAATTATAGAATAAATAGCTTAATTTTTTTCAAATAGACTTTTTTTTATGTTTAATGAATTTTTAAGTATCAAATTTAATATAAAAAATAAAAATATATCACACTATTTTTATTTATTATACTTAAAGTGTTTCCACCCTAAATTATATTTTTGACTCTGCCACTGCTCTTAAGGATCTTCACTCTTCAGTTTTTCAAATTAATTGGTTGATTTATGTTGCACCGTACTTTCAGGCATAAGTTACCCCTAGCATATATATATATATACACACACACACACACACACTAGTAATTGCCCATATTTGAAGGTAAAAAATAGGGTTAATCTCATTTTGCACCCCGAAAGATCGTTCGAATCTCAATTTACACCCCCAAAGATTAAAAATCTCAATTTGCACCCTCAAAGATAGAAAATTGTATCAATGTACACCCCCAAAGATCAAAAATCTCAATTTGCACCTTCAAAGATAGAAATTTGTATTAATGTGCACCTAAAACTAAATTGATAAATTATACCTAGATCCCCTCATGTTTGTCACTTAATCATTTGAACCCCTTCACATTTAGAATATTACCCTACATCTCATGACGTTTGTACATGTGTAAACATAACCATTTTTCGTTGATATCTATTAATATAATCGTTAAAAAATATGATTTTATCATAATAAAAAATTATAATTTCATATTACCCTTTATTTTGTGGATTCGATATACTCTAAAGTTCAAAATCAAGCTTACCATTTGAATGTCTAATAGAATGTAGATATTTATAAAAAGAAAATATGAAAAACATTATATAAATATCTACATTTTATTAGACATTCAAATGGTAAGCTTGATTTTGAACTTTAGAGTATATTGGACCCATAAAATAAGGGTAATATGAAATTATAATTTTTTATTAGGATAAAATTATATTTTTTAACGGTTATATTAACAGATATCAATGAAAATGTGTTACATGTTGTACGTGCATAAATGTCACGAGATGTAGGAGTAATATTTTAAATGTAAAGAGGTTCAAATGATTAAGTGACAAAACATGAGAGGATCTAGGTATAATTTATCAATTTAGTTTTAGGTGCATAATGATACAAATTTTTATATTTGAGAGTGCAAATTGAGATTTTTTATCTTTGGGGTGCACATTGATATAAATTTCTATCTTTGAGGGTGCAAATTGAGATTTTTGATCTTTGGGGGTGCACATTGATACAAATTTCTATCTTTGAAGGTGCAAATTGAGATTTTTGATCTTTGGGGGTGCACATTGATACAAATTTCTATC